CCGGTCCCAAATGATAACGAAAAAAAAAATCTTGGCTAAAAAAACGGAAATTCTTCGTTTTTTTAACAACGAATCAAAAAAAAAAAAAATGCTAATTACACATCGAATTAGTCTAGGATGAATAGAACTAAGCTAAAATGAAAATTTCCGGTTTTTATCTACAATTTTTTTTGTTCATTTTTTCCTGTAACACATTATCATAATGAATATTATTGTGTTTAAATTATTTTTTTTCAACCAAAATCATAATCATTTGTAAACTTACTTAACATCTAATAATGGCCGATCATGTATAAACCAGAATATTTTAGCTGGTGGTTTTGAACCCCATGTAAGACATGTTGCATGTACCATACTACCAATAGTCATACCATCACGTCTTACATCAACAATCTGTGCTTTTGTTGGATTTACTAGAAATTTGATTTTTGGCAAGAAAAGAAAAAACAAAAAGAAAGAAATTTTCAATAAAAAAAACTTTATTCTTTGATAACATCCAAAATATACACATACAATTAACATTAATTTTAAACAATTTATTTAATGATTTTGATTGTGGCACTTGTGGTGAATTTGTTGATTGACAACGAATGATTGTACCTTGATCAATACGTTCAATATGACGTATCCATAACATACTTAATAATATACGATTGGAATTATTACCGTAGGATGTTTGTGATTTTGTTGTTGTACCATTCAATGATGATGATAATGATGATGATGATCGATAAATAATTCGTTCATAAATAGTACGATTATTATTAGCAAGACCAATATTGATCACATTGAATCGTGAATCATCCGGTTTAATCTGTATTGGTTTTGTTTTTGATGATGGCATTATCGGTGATGATGGTTTTAATGTAAAATTTTTCCATTCAAATATTGTAGTACTACTGGTCATCGATGTATCTAATCGCCGATTATTCCAATACCAGTGTATTGTTGGTGATGGATTACCTAAAGAAATAAAATTGTAAAAAAAGAAAGAAAATTAAATAAGGAAATCTATGTGATCATCATCATTGTGGATTAATTTCATTTTTCATTTTCATTGTATCAACTAGATAGAAACTTGTCTCTTTCCTTGCACATTGTATCCAAACACTGAAGTAAATGAGTGAAAAATATTGTTTTAGGGTGAGAAAAAAAGATGTGTAACTAACATCAATATAGATCGATGGTCTCGGTAGTCCAACAAACAACCTATCATCAATTTTAAAACACTAAAGAATAAAATAGTAGTGAAGATTTGAAAAATTTTCATCATCATCATCATCATCATTTATCATTCATAGATCGATTTTCCATTTGATAGTTTTATTTCATTTCAATTCAATTGAATTATTTCTAATGAAAAAAAAAACAAAACAAAAAACCAAAACCAATGGAAAAAAAAGTAAACGATTCGAAAATGGTTTCATCAATGATGTATTGAATGCGGTGAGGGCAAATGGAATTTTGTTCATTTTTCATTCAAGATGGACTTTTTCATTGGATCATCATCATCATCATCATCATCATTGATCATTCGAATGATGAATCATTGATGAAATAAATTCATCAATTTCCATTATTTCAATTTATTACACAATAAAATGAATTCCGAAACACACAGACAGAAAAAATATTGCCGAAAAAAAGAAAGAATCAATATAAATCGCGTGTTGAGAAGAAAAAAACAAAGCAAAATTGATTCAGTGAAAAATTTCTTGAAATTAAAACAAAAACAAAAATAAAGAATATTTGTTTGCATTGTCTTGATGATGATGATGATGATGATAAATGTTTGAATCCGGAATAAAAATTTTGGCTTTTTATTATTATTATATTTTCAATATTGATAATAAGAATTCAGAATTTTTTCCAAGAAAAGTGATGCAAAATAGAGAAAAATAATAAGAAATCATCAGAAAGTAAATAATGCTCTTACATTCGTTTAGACATCATCTTTGTTCGTTTATTTTTCTTATTCTTATTCTTATTCTTTGTGCTCATAGAATATTTAATAGAATGATTCAATTCGAATGATTTCCACTATTTACTATCGTATATGATTGCGTGCTTATGTTGTTTGCCCATATTCTCTCTCGCTCCCTTTCAACGATTGATCTTTTGGAAAAATTCATAAAACAAAAAAGATTCCATAAAGTCATAAAACCACACACAACAGAAATTCAATGAACAACAACAATATTCCGGGTTTTTTTCGTGATCATGTAATCATCATCATCATCATAAAGAATTAAGAAAAAGAATCGCTTAAAAAACTAATGTTTTTTGTTTTACCCGAAGAATCATGAAATTTTATTTTCGAAAGTTAATAAACGTAAGTAAATAAATCGAAGAAAAAAAAATCTGATTAAATCAATCACAGAAAGAATAGAGAAAAGTTTTATTCAAGTTTCTTTTTTTTGGATTTCCACACATATCATCTTGGCAATTTTCTTTTTTTTTTGGTTTCCAAAACAAGCCTCAAGCATCGAGATAGAAAAACCACGCACGCACAAAAAGTGTGTGAATAATGAATTGAGTGAAGAGAAACCAAAAATCAAAATAAATATCCAAAGCAATTAACAAATTGTTGTTCAAAAAAAAGAAAGAAGGAAATCTTCACGAAATCTACTATGCAATTCTTACAACAACAAAAACACAATAACTAATGAATAAATGAACAGATAATGACAAAAACAACAACAAATCAATGTAAATTCAATTCTTAATGAAAATAGATTAGATTCTGGATTCTAGAATTTTTTTGAACGAAAATAAGAAAAACGATTCATCTTCAAAAGGATTCAGGTAGTGAATATCGAATGAATGTTAATCAGAATAACATGATACGATTTTCATGCCTATAGAAAGAGTAGAATTTTACAAAACTGATTGAGTTATGTGATATTCGTAAAAGTTATTGATAACTATAGTAAATATTCATTTCAATATCATCATTTCATTGTTTTTTTTGTTTGTTTGTTTCATCAATAATCATTATTACAAAAGTGAAGAGAAGAATTTCTTATTTTCTACAGAACCGGCTGTTTTTTTTTCATTATGTATGTACAATTTATTTGTTTGATTTCATCAAATTGACATAACAGATCAGGTTGTTTAATAATGATTGAACCCGAAACCCGATCATCATGATGATAACAACAAAAAAGTGTGTTTTTGTCATATCATGGTGGTGGTCATGATTTCCAATTATTTTCATCTTCAGCATTTTTTGTTAATAATCAACGAAAGAAAAAGAAATAAAACAAACCAATGTCAAAAAAAACACATCAAATAAACATAGGAAAAAACAAATCTCGACCTAAACATCAATCGATTTCAGGAATAAAACAACGGTAGAAAATACAATCCGAATATTTTCATGTGAAAAAAACACAATGTTTTTGTTTGGTTGTTTGACAAAATGCAAAAACACGGAAACGTAGAGAGGAAAAAAAATTTAGCCATAATACCAGCATCGTAAAACCGGTAAATGTTGTCGCTGTTGTTGTTGTTGTTGTTGTTCAATCACCTTATTATTGACAATATAATTGCAAATAAAAAGGAAAATCTTGTACTTTTGTAAAAAAAAATTTGTAAGAAGGAGAAGAACGACAAAAGATTTATAGATTCTTGTTTCGATAATGTTTCGAAAACAAATATTCCAAATATATTACCAATCGAAAATGAGAATGAATCGAATGTAAGAGACTTGTTTCTTTGGAAAATAGGAAAAACATTCACCAAACAAACCAAATAGGTGATTCTTGAAATTTTTGGCAAAAAAAAAGACAAATGAATGTTCATTATGATAATCTCATAAAGAATGTTTTAAAAAAATATTTAAATTTTTTTCAAACAAAACAAAACAAACAAAAATGATAATCAATTTCAATCAATTTTGGGATTTTCAAGTTCAATTCTGTTATTTTTTGAAAATGTAATAAAGATCCCCCTTACACAAAAGAAAAAAAATCATAAATCAAATTCGAGCGAATCGAAGATATTAAAAAATACAAACAAAAAACAAAATCATTTGTAAGTGGATTATGTAAGATAGAGACCAAAAACAAAACAAAAAAAAAACAAAAAAAACAAAATGATAATGAAAAACTAGCATCAGTATTTAGTCTAATCTCACATCCATACACGCACAAGGAAGATACAGTTAACTAAACTAAACTTGGCCCCTGATAGATACACACACACACACACACGTTTTATAATAAATATGGTTAAGCTTTTTTTTTAATAATCATCATTCTTTCTTTGTATTTNTAAAACCGGTAAATGTTGTTACTGTTGTTGTTGTTGTTCAATCACCTTATTATTGACAATATAATTGCAAATAAAAAGGAAAATCTTGTACTTTTGTAAAAAAAAATTTGTAAGAAGGAGAAGAACGACAAAAGATTTATAGATTCTTGTTTCGATAATGTTTCGAAAACATATATATTCCAAATATATTACCAATCGAAAATGAGGACAAATCAAATGTAAGAGACTTGTTTCTCTGGAAAACAGGAAAAAACATTCACCAAACAAACCAAATAGGTGATTCTTGAAGATTTTTTTCGTGTAAAAAAGACAAATGAATGTTCATTATAATAATCTCATAAAGAATGTTTTAAAAAATTGGTTTAAAAATTTAAATTTTTTTTTTCAAACAAAACAAAACAAAAAAAAATGATAATCAATTTCAATCAATTTTGGGATTTTCAAGTTCAATTCTGTTTTTTTTTGAAAATGTAATAAAGATCCCCCTTACACAGAAGAAAAAAAAATCATAAATCAAATTCGAGCGAATCGAAGATATTAAAAAAATACAAACAAAAAAAAAACAAAATCATTTGTAAGTGGATTATGTAAGATTGAGACCAAAAACAACAATACAGAAACAAAATGATAATGAAAAACTAGCATCAGTATTTAGTCTAATCTCACAGCCATACACACACAAGGAAGATACAGTTAACTAAACTAAACTTGGCCCCTGATAGATACACACACACACACACGTTTTATAATAAATATGGTTAAGCTTTTTTTTTAATAATCATCATTCTTTCTTTGTATTTATAATGGATACAATGTGTTCTTGGATGCGATGATGAAACAAGAAAAAAAAACATTGAAAAAATTTAATTTAATTCAATCCAATTTGAGATGTTTTTTCTTTTATATTATTAAACATGGTTTTGAACTTGTGATATATCTATGTTGTAGGTATTATGATTTGTTTCAATAAAAACTGTAAATTTTTTTCGTTTTTGTTTTTGAAGAAAATATTTTCCTTTTCCATCATCATATCAAGCCAAAACAAAACAAAGAAAAAGAATAAAAAAAGTTTGTCAACACAAACAAGCTATTTGTTATTATTAACGTTGTTGTTGTAAGACCGACTTATACAACGACCAATTTTCATCATCATCATACAAACTTGATGAAAAAAGAAAAATATTCTAGGATAAAGAGAAAAATGATATCCAGAAACCCCACAAAAAAAACAAAAAAAAAATAAATGCACTGAATTCGTTTTTTTTTCATCCCCAATAGGTTTTATTATTATTTTTTTCATATCGTGTGTGTGTGTGTTTGGGTTTTGAATCCAGTGAACAGAGAGAAAAAACAAAAACAAAAACAAAAGAAAAAGAAAGAAGAAGAAAAAAGTTCCAGAATCCTATAAGGATCATCATCATAGAATCGTTTAGAAATAGCTAAATATGAACCAAGTAGCAAGCCAGAAATAGATGATGATGATGGGAAAAAACATTCATTCATTCATTTTTGTTTTCACTTTGCTTTTGTTTTTGTTGTTTTTTCCGTTTTTCTGTTACAGAATTTTGTCCACCGCTGCTGCTACTGCTGTATCATATATCTGCTATTTTGTTTTGTTTTGTTTGTTTGTCCGGAATAGGTATCAGTCGTTTATCATAATTTTTTTTTTGTTTTTGTTTCAAAAAAAA